TGGGGCTGAAGTGGCCCTTTGCACATGGAAGCTTCAAGTGCAAGTCAGATTTCCAGGACTGTCAAAACCAAAAGTGAGCTTTTTGTTAAAAAAGGAATTTTTGTGTTCCATTCAGCTTGCCTCAGTGATTTCTAAAGCGTGTTTATGAATTTAGCAAATAACACGCCCCCTTTAACTACAAACAAAAAGGTTAAATTGTTTTGATTTCATACCTTACCAACTAGCTTCACATAAAGCTGGTTCCTTAAAATTACAATTTTGCATTCTATTACTTAGGTGAGGAAATATGAGGCAGGAATTTATTTTTCTCTGCTGCAACTCCAGGATATTGGCTCCGCTAGGCCTAATAAATTGTTTTCACAAGGAAATAAATAGAGCATGCTGTAGTTTATGCTCCCTTGTGCAAGGGGTTTTAAACAAGATGTATCCTAAACAATAAATAATTACAGATGGAGGTGGATGGGAAAAGGAAACATTATAGGAGTGGGAAAAAATGTTGTGTTTTTTTTTCTTTTTTTAACCAAATCAGTAGGAGGGGGGAAAGAAATTATAAATGCTACAAACTTAAAAGTAATTTTAGCCTTCACCACCGGTAATCTATGAAAGAAATAAGACAGTAAAAGGAGAAGAGGAAGAAAGAATAAGAATGTGGGAAGAAATGTAAGGACAGCCTAAAAAGAAAGTAATAGCTCAGTAAATGTATAAATAGAACAGAAACCAAAAGGATGTGCACTTAAGGGGCAGTTGTAATTCACTGCTCTTTTATGCTAAATGTTGTCCTCACTTTAAGTTAAAGACAGCTCCAATCATGAGCTGAAACTAGTGGAAAATAAATAGTGAAATGAAAAAAAAGTGTTACTTTTGTAATCTGTGAACAAGAAGTTTATAATAAAAGATGAGGAAAGGCAAAAGAAACCGTAAGATCAGGAGGAATGTTCTTTAAGCAGGAAGCTAGAACAGCTATTTCCATTTATAATGGAAGTAAGTAGTAAACAGTGCCTTTATACATTTTTAGTAATAAATAGGGAACAGATTTATTTTCTTCAATCTAATCAACATAACTTCATATTAATATGATTACTATGTGTTCTACGCTGTTTTAGCAATCAAGGAAGGTCCAAAGACATGTTACCATTGTTGTTGTTAGATGCCATTGAGTCATCAACGTCTCATAGTGACCCTATGAACAACAGATCTGAACTCTGTCTTCTCCTGCACTGTCCTTATGATCTCTGATATGCCACAGTCACTGTGTCAATCTATCTTGTCGGGGATCTTCCTCTCTTTTGCTGACTCTCCACCTTTCCCAGCATAATGTCCTTTCCCAAGAACTGACCCTTCCTGACAACATGCCCAAAATATGTGAGATGAACTTTCACCATTCTTACCTCAAAGGAGCATTCAGGTTAAACTTCTAAGGCATATCTGTTTGTTCTTTTGGAAGTCCATGGGATATTCAGTACTCTTCTGCAACCACAATTCAAAAGCATCAATCATTCTTTTTGTCATCTTTATTCACTGTCCAACTTTCAGATGCATAGGAAGTAATTGAAAAGACCATGACTTGGATTTGCCACACCTTAGTCTTTAAACTGTCATTGTTGCTCTTTAGCACATTGGAGAGGCCCTTGACAGTAAATGTTTCCAATGCAGCATGCCTTTTGATTTCTTCACTGCTGTGACCCTGCGTGTTGATTGTGGATCCAAGTAAAGTGAAATCCCTGCTTTTAACATTGTCCTGAACTAGCTGAAGAATGTCTTGCATAAAAGCCACCAGAATACCATGCAAATGAGTCTACTATTTGTCACTTTAGTAGGCCCCTTAAAAAGGTTTATGAGATGAAACCAAATGATCTTTCCTAAAACCAAGAGATTTTTTTCCTGTCCAGAGTAGAAGGGACTCTATTTGCTTTTCCTGCTCTCTCTCACTGAAGCCTCACTTGTCATTTAAGAAGCTCAGATGTCAAATTCTTTGGTCCATCACCCAGATAATTTTATTAATCTGGGGGGGTGTAATTTGTTCTCACAACCTCTCAGAGTTAGTGATTTACCTTTCTGTAGAGAAGGGTTATCAGCTATCTACAGGGAAGGACAGACTACTTGTTTTGCAATCCAGCCTCCAGCACTCTCCCTTGCACTGAACTTGACTCATTTTCCTCAAATCAGAACCAGTTCATAGCTGATCCTCCGGTGGTTTTCCCATCAGTAGAAGAGGATTGTCCAACTTTCTCCCTTGGAGCTGCTAGTAGATTTAAACCATCAGACAAGTGTCCCTTTGAGTTAGTAGGGCAATTCATTATGAACAAGGCCACCAGAGCCCCAGACCTTACACAGAGATATTCAAAATGTTTGCAGAATTGGTTCCCAACCATCATTCTTCCCTTTATGATACCTACTTCACTACTCAAACTCTGAAGACATTCTTTTTTGTTTCTCAAATGTATCTTTCATTGATCTATTCTTCTAAGATTTTAATAAAAGTTCACTCCATGTGGTTGTTAGGTGTTCTTCAGTATAGTTAAGAGTCCTTCGGTGTAGTTAGGAGTCATGTATGACTCACGGTGACCCTATGAACAACAAATCCGAAACTTGTCCTATCCCTGTGCCATCTTCACAATCTCTGACACACTTGAACTCATTGCTGTGGTCCCTTGTATCAGTTCATCTGGCTGAAGATGATCTCTCTTTCGTTGACCTTCCACCTTTCCAAGTATGGCATCCCTTCCAAGGAATTGTCTCTCCTAGCATCATGCCCAAAGAATGTGAGATGGAAATTCATCATCCTTGCCTCTAATGAGTACTCTGGCTGCACTTTCTATAAGACATATTTGTTATTTTGGTAATCCATGGGATACTGAGAACTCTTTTTCAACACCACAACTCAAGGACATCAATTCATCAATTCGTCTCTGTCATCTTTATTCACTGTCTTGCACTCAGATGTGTAGCAGGTGATTGAGAATACCATGGCCTGAATCAGACACACTTTAGGATTCAAACTTGCATCATTGCCCCTCCATAATTTGGAGAGGTTTCTGATGGCCAACTTTCCCAATGCAATATGTTTCCCGAGCTCCTAACTGCTGGTACCAAGGGTGTTGACTGTGGATTCAAGTAAGATGAAATCACTGACAATTTCAATCTTTTCTTAATTTATCATAATGTTGCTTATCAGCCAAGTGGTGAGGATTTTTGTCTTCTTGATATAGAGATCCAATACATATTGAAGGTCACAGTCTCTGGTCTTCTGCAGCAAGCATTTCAAGTTCTCCTCATTTTCAGCAAGCAGGATTGAGTCATCTGCATAATGCAGGTTGTTGATGAGTCTTTCTCTGATATTGATGCCATATACTTCATTGAGTCCAACTTCTTGAATGATTTGTTCAGCATACAGGTTGAACAGTTATGGAGAAAGGGTATAACCCTGACACACACCTCTCCTGATTTTAAACCATGCAGTGTTCCCTTGGTCCTTTGGGCCTAATCTAGCTTCATCCCATAAACATACATGGTTATTGAAAATCTCTCAGCTGCCTAAACTAAGATCTATACTTTCTCCATGAAAATAATCCATGCAGGTGATTTTTGGGAATATATTTTGGGGTGTGGGTGGCTGGAACATAGTTGTATAAATCTGGCATAGTGGGTTACATATCATATTTGAGAGCTAACTGAAAAGTCAGCATTTGAAAGCCACCAGTCACGTGGTTGGAAAAAAAGATGAAGTAATCCACTCCCAGCTGTGGAAACTGATACACGGTAGTCTTGATTCTTATTGAGATAGGCATCAGAATATTTTGTTCAGTTTGATTATACTAAAATCACTACTTTGTAGCATTCAACTAGGAGGCTTTAGTCACTCAACTTACCTAAGGTAAGGTCTTTAGGGACTAATATTTAGTACCTAAGGAGATGAGCAGCTAGGAACTCTAAAACAGCACTTTAAGTGTGAGTTGAAGAATTAGTTCTTGGAGGATGCCCCTTCACGAAGCTATTCTTTGCAAGATCATCAGGAGTTGAAGCAGTGAGTATCAATCAGTAGGCCTATGCCTGACCCCCATCCAGAGTGGTGAGGGAACAAGACCCCTCGAGTCTTTTCAAGTGGACCCTTATCTAGTCTGTGGAACTTAGCAACGGGTGTCTTTGGTTTCTTGACCTGTATTGACCCACAGACTAGAAAACGACCTGTTTGAGCTAGGGAAACAAATTAGGGGCCAAAAGCGATGGAAGAACATTGAAGAAGTACTTATATGAAGAGTTTAATTGAATGGGATCAAGAATGTCATCTGAGTAACAGAAAAACAAAACAAAATATGAATGTGTTTATGTGGGAAGGAATGTGAGGCGAGAGCTGGAAGGAGAGAGGGTCCCAGAAGGAGACCCAGAAAAGGTCTATGAAATGCTTAAATTCCCAGGAGATAAACCCGGCCCTACCGGCAGAGGGCAGCACCTGGACGGGAGAGGCCAGGCTAAGGCCGCCGGGCGTCGACCTGCCCGCAGGGGGATCTGCATTTTGAGTGTAGGATGAGATACTCGCACCCATCATTAGCCCTCCCTGATTTGCCACGTTAAGTGGAGTGGGCTGTCGGTGTTTGCGAGGAGAGGTGTCGTTGCAAACAGCCTGGTCCCCTGCCTCTGTGAAGGGAAAGGAGGGCGTCTCTGGAGGTCTCCCCCAGGAAGGATGGGAGTGGGGGTTCAGTTAGCACTGGGGCTGGGGTGAGAGGAGATCGGGGACCCCGCTGCAGCGTCCCCGTGGAAGTCGCGGCCTCGTCGCCCACCTCCAGACCCGCGTCTCGGGCTTCTCCGGCCCAGACTGCGCGCCCCACTCCCCTCTGCAAGTCAGTGCACGGCCGGGCGGCGCTCGGCTTCCGGGGCCACGACCCTCGCCTAAGTGCGCCACCCGCCGGGTGCTGACGGCCGCAGAGCTAAGACTGGGTCCCGCTCGGCTCACCGAGCCCCACGCGGCCGCGGCGCAGGCTCCCGCTCGAGCCGTCGGGGACGAGGGACGCCAGGCCGACTGGAGGGCGGGCGCGGAGCAACCGGTCAGCGGCGCGCGGGCCGTGGACTTTATGTAAATCGGGGCCGCGCCCGGGCCTCCTAGGTAGGATGGACCAGCCCCCAACGCCTCGGCCCTCACGTCCAATAAGAAGAGCCCCAGCTTGACACCTGCCTATATACAGGCGAGCGCGCCCTGGCCGCGGACCACGCACAGCCCCCACGCCGCGGGCGAGCGAGACCTCGGCCCGCCACCATGACTTCCAGTAAGATCGAGATGCCGGGCGAGGTGAAGGCTGACCCCGCCGCCCTCATGGCGTCCCTGCACCTCTTGCCCTCGCCCACCCCAAACCTCGAAATCAAGTACACCAAGGTAAGTAGCCGGCACTCGCCCGCGGGCCACTCAAGACTTTCTAGAAACTTCTTTCCCCCGATCTTTCCAACGGCCGAGGGCGGTGTGACGGGCCAGCCTGCCCTCTCTGCACGGCCGAGGTCCGCCTCGTGTGGATTTGGCCGTCCTGCCTGGGTCTTGGGACTCCAGGGAACGTGCCCCACTCCGAAGCGCAGCGCCTAGAGGTCGCGGTCAACGGCTCCCTCCGTAAACCGCGTCTGCTGCTGGTTTCTGCTCCTTTTCTTGGAGCCTCAACTGCAGCGGAGGAGTCAGAACCACTTGGGCTCCTCAGAGGGGAGAAGAGGAGGGTTTCTCCGCCAAACTGGCCTGGCGGCCTCGGGCGCTCCTTCTCGGTGCTCCGCGGGCAGGGGCCGCTCGGCTGCTCGGGATCGGGTCCCCCGAGGGCCGCTCCGCGCGAGGGGCTTCCCTGCAGCAACGTGTCAGGACGCGCCGAGCAGCCCAGGCTCCTTCCAGCGATTCCATCCAAACCCAGCTGCAGCTTACAGTAGATCCCGTGTCCACGTTTCATTTGAATTTTGTAGGCAGTGGCGTTTTCCCGGGAAAATGCCAAACAGCTCTAAACGTGCTCAGATTTAAAAGTTCTCTTTGGGAGTGCAAAAGTACAGTTTTTTAAATAACGAATTCTGACAATCTGGATTTGCCATGCCAAATTAATTTTTTTTTGTTCTAGTCTATAAAAATTAGTAAAAGGTTCGCCACCTAGTACAAATGGAATATCCTTCCTTTCTGCATGTTCTAGATAGGAGAAGGTATTACACGGAAGGTTGCAGTGTTTTGGCCAGCGGGATATACAAAATTTAAAGTCACGTTTCTTAGATTCATTTTACAATTCTCTTACATGATTCCGTCCCTTTCAATCAGTTTCTGCCCTGACTTCTCCCAACTGACTTAAACTCATATGTGTGCAGAGTATAGTTAAAAACTATTTTCTAAAATGCTTACTACAGAATAAACGAAGTTTTGTAAATAAGTAAATTGTTTAAACAAGAAACAATGCCAGAATATTGCAACTTTGCTTTCATTGAATTGTAATGTACAAATCGGGGTCATTCAATATTAAATGACGGTTTAGGTGGATTTGATGTACCTGTTAGCTTTTTTTTAGATGGTGTAACAAATCTTTGAAAGCCTTTCTAATGAGAAGTCGTTAATGGTTACGGCCATTTAAGCATTGTTTGCATAACAATGGCGTTAGTGTGTGGCGGTCTCTGGGTTTGGAACAATTGGGGGTGGTAAGTGCGGCATAAGTTTTGTTTTATAAAGGTCCGGAGCTTCTATAGCCTCTCTTTAAAGGTTTAAAGATAACAAGGCGTATATTGAGAGTAGAACTAATTCTCAGAGTTGAGGCATTTGGAAGGGTTTGATTCTAATCTTAATTTTCCTCACTGTCCCTGAAAGAAGTTTGAAGTATGCAGTAGGTATCTTTCTTGGAATTTAATTTGGAAGTGCCTCCAGTTTTCTTTTCCTCTCACTAACCCCTTTCTCTTTTCTTTCTTGTTCTCCCCCAGTAGAAAAGACAACTGATTTATAGCTAATTGGAGCCTTTAATGTGGTGTCTTTTAGCTCCAGGAAGACTTTTATCCAGTATCCACTTTCCCACTTATTACAAAGAAAAACAATCAGAAATGAAATAATGGGTTGTAATCTGATTCTTTAATTTGTGGGGAGGAGGTACCTTATATTTGGCTTGACAAACAACCCTCATAAACACTGTGTAACACTAATCTAAATTCTAGCTCTTGTCACAAAAACTTGTAAAATCAAGTATCTGTGAACATTGCCAGAATATTTCCTCCTCTGTTTAAATTTTCTTGGACAAGCAATTTGGGGGGTTTGTTGTTTGGCTGTATGGTGTGGTTTTTTTTTTAAAAAAACTTGAGGAGTAGAAGCTTTTTGATAGCTATGGGTAATGATTTTTTTTTTTCTTAAAAGGAAAGTAAGATTAATGAAGAGTCTTAAAAAATTCACTTAGGATTACAAGTGAGGGAAATTATATTACCAGTTTCAAACAGAAGCATGAACAAAGTAGAATGGACAGCTAGTCTTCTACAAAAGTGATGCCGTATTCATTAGGAATTTTTTTTAAAGGTAATGGCTAGAAAAGTATCCTGCATTTGGGCCTATTGAATAACACGTATAAAAGGAATTTTGTTAGAAAATGGTGCTATGTTTTAAGCATATATAGGTGGAACATAAACGACTCACTTTTGTTTAGTTAAATGAATATGATTTTCCTGTGCAATTTTTCCAATATGATTTTGGGACTACCACAAAATCAAGCAACCTGTAATATATATTTAGACTGCTTTGCCCTTATGATCTTGAATTTTGCTACCATCCTCCTCATTTTTTGAGATCGTCTTTGTGTGAAAAGTCTAGGGAGGTCATCAGATATAAAGACTACTGCCTTTGGCTACCAGAGAAAGAACCAGGGAAAATGCTCCAGAGTTAAAGTTCAATCCTTAAGGATGTTTCAAAGGGCTAAATATGTGGGTTTGTAGTTACTTTAAATTATATTCAATCTTTAAAGTAAACATTATTTTCTCTGAAGTTCTGTTCTTAAACACTATATAGCCTTATTGCAGCAAGCTAGAAATCACATTTTAAAATTAATCTTTATTAAGGATTATGTAAAAAGACTGTTAATTAAGAAAGTAATGATAACTCTGCCCATATTATGTAGCAAAGGACCAGTTGGTGACCAAGAGAATGTGTATTTCTTGCTTGTGTTCTAAGAAGCCTGCACAATTTGAGGGACCAATTTGGGGTTAAGAGAGTGTGCATCCCTTGCATATATCCTTAGAAGACTAGTATATGATTCTGATTGCTTTTTAGCAGTTCACTTATTCATGTTTTTCAAGGTATTTCTGGTTTATCAGTGTAATTTTCAGACTTTTGTGTGTGTCTTGTTGTTGTTGTTAGTTGTCATTGAGTCATCTGTGACACACAGTGACCCTTTGAACAACAGGGATATGTATAACCTGAAAGCCCACTGCCTTCTGGTCTATGTCAACTCTATAGCCAGAGTAGAACTTGCTCCATGAGATTTGTAAGGCTATAAATCTTTACAGACTGCCATGTCTTTATCCTTAAAAGTAGCCAGTGGGTTCAAACTATTACCTTTTCAGTTAGTAGCGAGGCATTTTAATCACTGTGCCACCAGGGCTCCCAAGAGCTAAATAAAACTTTTATACATAATTGCAAAATTAAGGCTCAGCACTCCAGAGTAACCTTCCAGATTCCCAGGTCTAAGGAAACTTGTCTTTATCTTATATCTGCTTTCTCCACTGCCCCTCGCCCAACATTTTGAAATCTCTCTTTTGTTTTGTATATGTATAACTTTAAACTTACCCAAAAAAGTCAAGAGCTGTGGTTTTCATCCAGTATGATCGAAACCTATAGCATTTGTTGTGTACCAGCGTCCTAAACAGGAAGAAATAAAAGGCAATCAACTGGAAAATCAGTAATGATGTACAGTTGGGTGCCTACTGTTTATTTTATTATTCTTTAACAAGCTCATTTAATGTTGACTGTTTTCAAGGCTCAATTTCAATTTCATCCAAAGGCTATATGAGTGGTTGTGTCTCTAGTGAGGGTTCTTCCTGCTCTCCTAGCTGGGCTATGAGTCTGTGCTTTTTAAAAAAAATGCTTTTTTTTTCTTCCCAAAACAGGCTGTCAGTAAGAACAGTGGTAGTTCAATCAACCTCTGCAATAACAAAATGAGGATAATAATGATACTATCATTATTAGAAAGTTATTTACATCGTGTTGTTTTTGTTGTGTCTGATGGTGTCCTTAACTCTTTGATATGTATCTTCTTTTATCCTAGGAAAGGCCTTATATAGTCCAAAGGTGAGAATAATTGATAAGGAAGATCTTGGACTTTCAAAAGTTGATATTACTTTTATATTAGTGTATAGATATTAGTGCACTTACTTCACTAAACACTTATTTTTTAATTTAAAATTTCATGTTTATATTGCTGCTAATATGTATTTGAAGATTATATGAACAAGTTTGTTATTTGTGATGTTTGATTCACAGACTTTAAAATACTGTTTGTGATAGTTCCTTGAGTTTTCATTATGTCTAAGACAAGATTCACTCCTGCCCTAGCTATCAGTTCTTACAAGGTAGATATAAGTCTACTTACTTCAAACCTTTCCTCAAGATTGTTTGTTTTAATCATAAACTGCAGTCAAATTGCATGTTTATAGAGGTGTGTATTATTTTTTAAAAAATCCAACACCCCCCTCCCATTCTTTCATCTGTCACATTTTTAGTATGTCTTTGATGTTTGTAACATTTCTATTTAACCCAGAGAAGCTAAGCAGTTTTATCACAGGACTTGAATGAAATGGTTACCCTGAGATCCTGCCCCAACACCATACTTTCTACTGATTGTGTTAACATTAGGATCATCACTTGTGACACTTCTTTCTATAAAATTATAACTTTTCTATTTTATGGTAGATAGTTTCTCTGAGGAGCCTGTGTAGTGATGTTTGACTTCCTTATAATTAAGCTAAAGAAAAGTTAAGCATGCATAGCTAGTGCTTTGTTTTATCAGTGAGGCACATTAATAAAACCATGACCAAATCAGTAAGAATTCCAAATATTAACACATGTAGTTCTCTATCAGATCTTTCATAGTGTCTTATTGAATATGAACCCCAGTGTATTCTTTTTGTCTTTTCCATTATTATAGTGACAACTTGGCAAGGATCCAGCATAATAGACTTTATGATCAATTTTGTAAATTATGTTTTATTGGAACATAGTCACACCCATTTGTTTAAATATTGTTGAGCTACATTAGGACTTGAGCAATTGCAGCAGAGACCTTAGGTCCCACATTTATGGAAAAAGTTGAGATATAGAAAGGTTGTGAAGTTAGAATAGGCCTTTGTTCAAATCTTGATCACTTTTTAGCTGTGTGAGCAGTTAACATTTCTTTATAG